TTTTTTTTATAGTTACGTTGGATGTGTCAAGGTATAGTTCCGAAAACAAAGGCTCCATCGGGCTGCGCTGCGGTGACCACTACGAGTAAATTGAATTTTTGCTCTTAAAGTAACCATGATTCTTTAAACTCATTTTATTCTGAAAAAAAGTGCTTTTTTAGATTTACTTGTATCTCGACGCCAATTGTAATATATTAGGTACCTCCTTGCTAATATATTATGTAAAGGGTACGTTACAAACGAACACAACCAATGTTTATAACTTTATTTTACGTTAATAAGTAAATGGAATGCGTCGAGCCACCATGAATGACATTAATTGACATTCCACTTGTAACTTCAAGAATCAAGTATGTGAGTGTGTGAGTGAGAAATGGCGCAGTTTACCACATTATTAAGTAAATATTTTAAGATATTCCATTAACAAATCGATATTGCCTCTTATAAAAGCATCGGCAAGCATTTATCTTTATCTTTCTAAGGCCCCAACCTCCCAGTTTATGTACTTATCTGTATTTTTAACCAAATACGTGTGATCGGTCCTGCATATGCAATATAAAACAACGTGCCAGACAAGGATGAGAATACCTACGTTATGCTGGTTGCCTAAAATCATTGCGGCACGCGATTTTGGCGCTCGATGCCGTTCCAGTTACAGAGTATATAGTTCAATGCCTGCGCCACCTAGAAAGCACGAACGGGAGTTACGTTTGGCATCTTGTCTTGAATGGCGGTCGTGAACGTTTCGCTCCATAAATGTTTGTTGTTATTTTGTGTTATTTAATGCAGATAGTAATATTTGCATTTCTTTATATCGTATTTGTGTTTTGTATGCCGCATTTTATATTTGTTGTGTTTGAATCTCTGTTTTTGAAATTTACTTGGTTTAACCGCAATGCAGAATCATATGTGTGATACCGTTATGCTATTGTTTGTAATTGTTTACATTTTTGGTGTAATGTTTGCTTAATTTATGTTTATTGATGTTGATTACTTGGTCTTGTCCCTGAAGTTTCATATAAGTTTTGATCATTTTATTTTAATATGTGGAAATTACCGATTTGTTTTATGTATGTACTGACTGAATGAAGCAGTCACGGGGGTGGAAAAAATCTGTAGTCAAAATTGTAGTAAGACACCTAATTCCGTGATGGTCTTCGACATCCAACTGTAGGCTCGAAATCCCGAAACCAGGGCCGGGTTACCCATCTTGCAGGAGCGGGATTACGCTAATCAAAGCTCTTCAGTTTAGAATCTATGTGCGATAAATGAGTGGCGATTCAATAATTTCCACATATCTTGTTTTTAGTCAAATTTGCCTACAAGGCCATGTAATTTTCCATCTTGCTTTCAACAAAAGGACTTTATTGCACCAAAGATGAGTCACATCCTGTGTATTTCACCCTTTCTCAGAATCTTGGTACCTGCTACTACCTGACCCATTGTCCCCAAAAACTTGCTTTTAACCTTGAGTGTAACCAACATTGTGTATATGCATTTACTATCTTTGTTAACTACTGCTTAAACTTTTACAAAATATTTTGTTAATTAACTTTTGGACTGTTTTAATCAAACTGCAAGGTTTTTCTTCGTCGTACTCTTTTTACCCTTGGCAGTGACTTTTGCGAGAGTACGATACCCTTCTGGCTTTGCTTACATTAACGTACATCAACTAAATTTCCGGGTTTTCACAATCATAATAATTACGATCATTATTAAACAAACTTTTCACAATTTCAGTGTTTTATTTAACGTTCCTTCCCTACTGTCCTTCAGGTGAAAGCGTTGTCTACAACTAGCGTAAGGGGGCCCTGCCTTAGATGTTTTATCACTGCCACTTTTCAAATGTAAGCGGGATCTTGTTTTATAGTTTTGGAGGGAATCATCCTTCGGGTGGCCATTTTTAAACGTTGCCGGGTTGACTTTATTTTCGTGTTCTTGTAGTGTGAAGTTAGCGTAGAACCTGGGGGTTAAGTACATTACAGTATCATTGGTATCTAACAGACATATACTTTGCACTCTAAGTAGAAGACTGCATATCCACAACACAATAGCGTTTTAACACACGAAACTACCAAGAATTTAAAATGTATCCAGTGTGACTATGCAACCAATGATAACTCCAATGAGGTAATTATAAAACACATATTTGTTAACATACAAATCACCAAAGATTGAAAGTGCGCTTTCGTCACGAAGCATAAAGAACATCTTTACCATCTGTCAACAGTGGCGTAGCGTAGCTGGTTGGCGCCCGGGGTGTGATCAAGGTTTGCCGCCCAATATTTTAGGAGCTGATGAACATTTTGAGTTCTCTATCGTTTATTTTAAAAAAAAGATCAAATTCTTATTCTATTCTGGATTTGAGTACTTACTTTTAGATCGAGGGATTTTTTTTAATTTTTTTGTAATGCTGCAAAAAGGATATACTCAACATTGCTGCTGAAGTCGAACCCTGATGTATACCATGAGTCGAACCTAAAAACACAAGAATTTCAAAGACGAGACGATAATGATATTTGAATTGCTTGATAGTGTTAAGTTTGGGGTTGTGAATAAAGGCAGCGTAATAACAAAAAGAGCAGTACTACTTTATTAGTACATTGTGGGTTGACATACAGCAGCGAAAAAGAGAGCGAGCGCATGGTGCGCATCATAGTCATATAAGTACAAGATCGGTGGGGGAAATAATGAAAGCGGCAAATTTAATTTAACAGATAGACATTGTTCAAAAGATTGGAGTATATTGAAGATTGAGAATAGAAATTTAAACTTTTGTATGTATACCAGAAGTCTTTTCATCATGTATACTCGCCTCAGTTTTTGTCAGATAAAGCATTTTCAAGTCCGTCTCTATGGTCATCGTCGTTGCGTACGAAATCAAAATTTAGGTAAATGTATTTTCACAAGATTTTTTTATCGTTTCCTACTTTTAGCTATTTTCAAAAGCGCGCCGGGATATTATTGGCAAGTATGACGCTGCCGCCTCTACTAAAGTGGCGCCCGGCTCTCCGCCCCCCCCCCCCCCCCAGCTAGCCACTGTCTGTCAAGCCTCTGCTAGATTTTAACTGTGACAACTTTAAAACACTTTTGTTAAGACACAAGACCAGTAATAATTTCAAATGCGCCTGATATCAAAGATCATACTACACTAGATAGACAGCGCTGTATAAATTTTAGACTCTCATAATTCGTCCCGCCACATAAGTCGACTGCGTCCTCCAGTGGCTATGTTTTTATGAGAATAGTACAAACTACCTGGCGGGGTAAGAAGACGCGCGAAATGGCAAAGCACAGTTATTTTTAGAATGAAGAGCTATTTATTTATTTATTTGTTTAGCCAGATACCATACAGAATACAATTATTCCAATTACATGGCACTGGGGTGCTGTACTTAAAACTAAAACTACACAGTAATTACGATGTTATATGACTAATTAATTCATTCAAAGAGCCGTGAAATACATCGATGTCTCTCTCACGGCACTTCTTATTTAAAGCCAACAGGCTCCTCGATAGTGGCGATGACGGAGTGGTCACTAAAAAGATGATATCGTTTTTCCTTAATTTAACATGTGGCATGTGTTTAATTTCCTGAAGCAATTCTGGGGCATTTAGGTGATTATTCAGTATCTTGTACACAAAGGTAGCACAGATCACTTCGCGTCGGATTTGTAAACTTGAGATTTTAATACCGTGCACACTATTTAAAAATTTTAGTTGTGCCGATGAAAATTTAAGTTGCTATTGAATAAAACGCCCAAATCTCTAACCGAGGTGACTCTTTGGATATCCTGCCCATTTATTTCGTATTTAAAAATCGTGGGATTGTTGGATCTTGTGTACGATACTTTGCACTTTTCTATGTTTAGCTTCAGTTTGTTTTTATTGCACCAATTTATCACTGCATTTATGTCTGCTTGAATATTTAAACAATCGTTTGAAGATTTCACTTTATTAAAAAGTTTCAGGTCGTCTGCAAATAGAAGTGCTCTGGAGTTTTGAATCACCCGCGGTTCAAGAATGTAGAAATATTGCAAAACCAACATTTGAAAAGGTTCGACGGGAGTTTGAGAATAGATTATACTACTGTCTTACCAATAACGGAAACCATTTTGAACACTTATTGAAATAAAAGCCAACTTTTAAAAATGTATCATATTAGTTTATTTTTTGATTTGCATGATAATTACTAACCTAAATGGAATGCTATTTGGTATGGTTGGAAAGCATTTTTTCAGAGCTTTCCAACAACGTATCACACATGGGGGGTCACTATTTAAGATTTAAAAGTTGGGGTGGCTGGGGGCGCAGGGGGTGCGTCGCCAACTATGTCATTGTGATTCCCCCTCCGAATTACCGAAACGGATTTTGATTTTTTTAAATATCTCATTTATTTACTAAGACATGGGGAGTGGTAAGTTTTCAAATTGCCACCCTGTATACACAATTTTATGTAAGCATTCGTGCAGGTGCAAAGATTCTCGTCTTCAACTGGGATTTTTGTTGCCACCAGCACTCATGCTTCTTGTTAAAATACTAGCAATATTTAACGTGTTTTTTCGGAAAAGGTACAGGGTACAGGGGTGTCAAAAATCATAGGAAGTGAGTTTGCAGTGTATGCGCCCGATTACCTGCAAACTTACTTAGTTGACTACAGTGTTTATAGGAGTTTTCGGAGGTGCCCAACTGGAACACATTGTAGCTGGATTTGTGGAACGCGTCCCCTGTTGTTTTTAGAGGCTGTTTAAAACTGAAATTGTCTGAAGATCTGGAGTTGAGGTAGCATCACTCAATCTGGTGTACTTTGGACTGGGCCGGTTTATTTCAAAATAGGATTATACTGGCTTTCTCCTAGTCGTCTGCTCAACACCCAAAATACGGTTTCATCAGTTGTCACAAATAAAACAAGACTATTTCATCAACATTTTAATAATAAGTTTAAAACTGATATCAGCAAGTAGCACCAATAATAAATTTTGGGTACAAAATTTCCATTTAATAAATACACACAATATATAACAGTTACACTGTTAAAAACAAATAAATAATAACAATACTGTAAGCAAAACGGAATAATTTAGAATGATAAATAATTTGAATATACTTAATACTTCAATCTTATTAAATTTTGGCAAACACTCATTCACATGAAAACAATATAAATTGTGATACACTTGCATTAATCATAATTGGAAATAGTTTTATAACCAAAAATAATAAAATTGCACAAAAATTTAACCCTGGGACGTTTATGAAGTTATAAGCCAATCTATTACATTTTATTCGTGCAACTTTAAATCTGTTTTTTGCGCTATAATAAAAATAATCTGTATCAGTGTAGTATGTAACTAAAGTAACTAAATTACGAACAAAATAGTGGAGTTGGATAATAAATCCAAGGGAATGTAAAAATAAATTTAAAAAAGAAACATCGAAATAAATTATGTTTATCATATATATACAACTACCTATATTCACAAAATAGTTTACTTTTGAAAACAAATCAGTCTATAAAAGGCACATAGTTTGCATTGATAGTTTTTATACTACAATTGAAGTAATACATATCACTCATGAAGAGTATCTACTGATACAGCAAAATCTCGACAATAATTTGACATTCGTCCAGATGTACTTATTCTGCTACTAATTTCATCTTTTAGATAGCATAACACCTTTTTAACTTCAGAATTCTGTGTCGGTGTTAGCCTTAAAGCTTCCTTTACGTCAGCTAATGCAGATTCATACAGTTTTGAATCCAATTTTGCTTTGGATCGAGCATAATAGGCTTCATAGGATTCTGGTTTCATCCTTAGCACTTGATTGGCAAGTTCCATCGCTTCCTCGATTTCCTTTAAATAAAAAGCCCGAAATGTAGATCACCGCAAAATTAAAGAAAAATTGTGTACATAGATTAGAGGAACCAGAAATAAGACTTACATTCATTTTTCGCTTACATCTGGATTGATTAAGTAAAAAATTTATTCGTAATTGATAAAAAGCTGTATTACTTTCAATTTGATCATCATTTGGAAACTTCTTTAAAGCATACTGGTATCTATGAGCTGCCTCTCTTAATCGACTTTTGCGATATAAAACATTGCCGTCCTCTAATAGTTTATTTAGAAGTATAAGCCTAAAATAAGAATTAATTTTTACAGCACTTAGTAAATAATGTCATACATTATTTCTGGTTTGCCTGCTGCCATGGCCCATGTTGCTGGGCCCAATTTTGCTCCTTTCTTCAGGAAACACTGTACAACTTGAATATTTCGACATCCTATGGCGCGATCGAGTGGTCGCATTCCATTAATGTCGACATGCTCTATCAATGCACCACGCTCTAGCAATGTTTGCACAATGGAGGGGTTCCCCTGAAAAGCTGCCAAATCTAAAGGCGTTCGACCTGTCTTATCACAATGATTTAAATTGGCATTCCTGTCTAGTAAGCTTTGAACTGCTTGTAGTTTACCCCTCAAGCACGACCAACCTATAGCTGTTAAGCCTTCCTTATCTTGTTTTTCTAATGTTGCTCCTAAAAGAAATGTGAAGTGAATGAGGATTTCGTTAAAGTTTTTACATTCATACCTTTATCTAATAGCAATTCAATGAGACCAACATGACATTCAGAAGCCGCCAACATCAGTGGTGTGCGTCCAATGGAGTCGCATTGTTCTATTGATGCATGGTTTTGTATAAGCTTTTCAGCTATGGCCCAATGTCCTTCTTTGACAGACAATAAGAGTGGAGTCATTTCTTTTCGATTGGTAACAGATATATTTGCCCCCCGATTGATTAATGCGGTGCAAATATTGTGACATCCATTTGTTGCTGCTATCGTTAAAGCGGTTTCACCAGTTAAACTGTCTACAGCGTCAACATTCACTTCTGCCATATCCAATAAATATTCAAGTATATCTATGTGACCTTGCGCAGCCGCCGCTATCAACGCCTGTTGAGCTGCTTCTGACAGTTCTACGTGTTCTGCGTTCGTTCCAATCCAATCACACGCCAAAAGGTAGCCGACTACGTTTAAAAACCCATTTCTAGCAGCGTGAACTAAGGCACATTGACCTGCAGTGTCAGTATGTCCTGGACTAGCACCAGCTGCTATCAATTGCCTAACGACATCACAATGGCCTTTTGCTGAAGCCAACGATAAAGCAGTGGAACCTTGACTATTGCTCAATTCCACATCGGCTCCAAACTCCAACAGTAGAGACACCATAGGAACTATTCCCTCACAAGCGTATATACACAAAATTGGCGCATTTCCCAAATAATTTGTGATAAAATTTGGCGACGCACCGGCCAATAAAAACAATCTTGAAACTTTAACATTTGGACTATATATATTTCGCAGGTTACAAATTGCCGCAGACACATTTTCACAGCTTTCTGCAACCCAATGGGCTTGAAGCTCTCTTGATGAGATCGCTTGAAATGACATATTTCTATAGACGTGAGCCTTCAGTATATGATGTCCTAATTCTAACGACTTTTCTGGGTCCAGTGGGACCTGTACTCGAGAAAGTCGAAAGGCGATTCCAGAGTGCCCAGATCGTAAATCACACAAAAACTTGGTACTCTCAGCGTCATCACGCCTTATCAGCCACTCTCTAAAGGACGGATGGAAAAACATGTATGTGTTGTCTAAGCGCTTCACAAGAAAGCCAGATAATAATTTAAACCTTTGAAGAAATTCCTCCCACGGCAAAAACCTATCTACTAATAAGGAATTGACAGAGTAATAAATTTCTACAAGTGTAAGGGGATAGAGTGCTGCTAAACAGACACTCAAAATGTGAGTCACTTTATCAAAGGATCGTAATGTAGGAAATCTTAAATTAAAATGCAAGGAATAAATTTGTGCTAAATTTACGGGAAGCACTTTGTAACCGGAAGATTTAGCAACTAAGTGACCTCTTTCTAATAAATCCAGTGTAAGTTTTGCAAATAAAAATGATCCCTGACTTAAATGTAATAAATGCTGAGCAAATTTATGTTGAGCAATATTTCCACTTTCTAGTTTTCCGGGAGTTGTTAACGTTATATTTGTTTGAATACTGGGACTGTTTTGTAATCTGAAGTTAATGTAGTCTAACAAATCTTTTTGGACATTGTCGTTTCCTTTATCTAAACTTATTCGAGTAAACGGTAACTGCTTTGTGATATCTTGCAGTTGTGTTCGAACAGTTGCTAAAACTTTCAACCATGATGGAAAGCTGGGTATGTGTTTAATCAAGAAGGACGTAATTGTGTCTCCGTGGTCGGGTCTATGATATTCGGCATCACACAAAGCATCAATTAAAATAACATGATTTTGACCATCGATCTTTCCAATTCGTTTTAAACTAGCTAGGGGTTCTAGGATTCCTCGATTAAGTGCCAAATCTGGATTTGCTATGCACTCTTTTAAGGAAACCACACCTTGAAGGTGCGGCTCAGTCAACAGGTAATCCCTATAAGCACTTAGCTGAGGGGACTGGCATAATTGTGCTGCTAGAGAATGTATAAAATCAGGTACTAAGCAAGTATTGTTATTATCGGCTTGACAAAAGTGGTATCCCACCACCTTTGAAGATATTTGCTTTATTCTTTCCGAAACGAGATCAATTTGGTAATAAATACTTTGAGGGCTAAGCGGACGATCAGGTGACTGAAGAGTTTGTGATTTTTGGTAGGAAGGTTCTTTTCTTCTACCAAAACAGCTGTATTCTACCAGTTGAAGAATCAGGGCCGTCTTCCCAGTACCTGGATTGCCTGTTAATAGCACACCTGGACTAGAAGAGCCTGGAATGAATAATAAATTAGCCACCGTTATTGTGTAGTAAATAATCAAACCTACCAACAATATCTTCAACTTCTTTCAAAAGCCAGTGCCGCCCCAAGAACAAAGGATCTGGCTCCTGTAGAGGAACTTCGAAGAACAGAGGTTTCAAGGTAAGTTGAGGAGCTCGATACTGGGCAAAGCGTATCCTGGGATCAATAGGACCCTTTATGTTTCCCGTTCGGGCTGAGCGCCTTATACAGGTTTTCCTTGGAGGAAATAAGCCTGTGTCATCACAGTGGTTGCCAGACTGGGAATCTAGAAATGCCAGTGTTGTAAATACAGTTAGCTTGTATGTTGTTATATTACTTGTTACGCTATGCCTTCTACTGATCGGACTGGCACTGCCATTACTATGACCGGACATAGACATTGACATTAATGAACCCACACTATCTGAATTTGGGTTAGTTCTATGTTGGTCTTCTGAACTTCCAGTTAATGTCGAAACTGGACTAGTGTTAGAAGAAATCATTGTAGCATTGTCGTAGCTTACTAAGGAAGTACAAGATTCGTGGGAATTTCTTGTGGGTGGCCTTCTGGGTCGACGCGCTTCTTCTCCCAAAAGTAAACCAAGTCGCATGTACATGTCATTTTCGGTGGATTTTTTTACAGCAATCGGTTTTATTGTTCCTCCTTCATCATCTGCAATGTATTATAAATGAACCACCGGTCACGTATATCTGTATTAATCTGCAGTGCTAATGAAGTGCATATAAAAACAAAGAGCTGCAGTTGTAAGTGCAATTTTACATGCAAAAATCCGTCACTAGTGTACGTCTATGGAAAAGCACACTGCACAAGTATTCCTGTTAAAAAATAATTAGAACGCTTATAGGTACTATAAATTAAGCAACAATATTTATAATCAATGACAGATAAACCTAGACAAATAAACGGTGCCTTTCATGCAAAAAACCAAGCAGAAAAAACACAGTATCCTGCCTGAAACTAGTTGATTGAGTCCCATGTTTGCCGTCGAGCTGCCAGCGGACCATAAGGACCGAATTTTTCCTAATATTACACTTGGCCAATGACGATTTTCAGTAGAAGTTGCAGAAGAGCTCATGGAAGCTAAGGACATATGATATTGTCACTGCCATGATCAGTTAAAATCGAAACTAAATTTACTGGCATTGAGTGTGAAGTGATTTGCTAATTACCTACTAGAATAGAAATTTGACGCTGAATTGTGGTTATTTTACCTGAGAGAGTCGTATCTCCACCACTCTGTCGGATTGCTCGTTGAGCGAATGGACTTCGCAGCGCTTTCGGACTCAATAGAAATTTTCGGCGTGCTTGTGGTGGAGTAGGACAACTCTGAGTCATTATACCATTATCTACGCGATTCCTAGGATTAGATGGTCGCACTTTGGGTAATTTTTCAGGATGTCCTAATTCGGCGCTGGATGTTAAATCGTTGCGACTCTAAATTCAAAAGGGATTGTGTTACTTTTGATTAATTAAATTAAGTATACAGTTACTAACTTGCATGTACGTTGTGAAGTGACCATTCGTCTTTACTTTCGTTCTTGGTTGCACTCGATCAGAATTTTGGTCAAATTCCACACAAGAGACAGTGTCTGCATACAACGTGATTTCTGATCCTCTTAATCCTGGACAACCCATTATGTCTTTCTGGTAAGGGCCAACTATAAATAAACCATTTTTATATCTGCTACGTAATGAAGGAAATGCAGTGTACCTAAGTATATGCGATCTTACACATTAGTTAATTATCGTTTTGTGTATAATTATGATCGATTCGCACAGTATCTATTAAATGGAAACTCTTATTCAACATAACATTTGAAATGCCGTCAATTTACAAAGAAACCATCTGAATACTTACGCAATCCACGGATGAGGGTAATTTCTTAATAATACAACTACATGAAGTGGACAATTATTGACGTGCCTATTATACATATTATGTAATAATTTTAGAGGTTAAAGACCTTAACATATTTTATCTTTTACTTATGGCGGTAGGCTAATTAAACGGGCAATCCACGTGCCGTGTTAATAGGGATATCAATTAGCGACCGATAGGTAATATTTGTAACACAATTTCCAAATTGGTGTCTTAATCTTTCTGTGTACATAATTCATGACGAAATTAATTGATGCCAATTGATCACAATTTTAATATATTTAATTAAGCAGCAATCGCAACTCTACTTTAACAATAACACCCTCGGTAACATCCGAGTAACATCTATATTACGACAGGAAACTGTTTCGTTATCAATTCTACCTAAAGGTTAACAGCTGTTCAATAAACCTCCGCAAGTACTTGTAATTATTACGTTGAGCACCAGATTACCTCCCAAACCTTAACAAATTTGGCTGATTAAGGCTTGTTTGTTGTTTCACACTTATACGGTTCGATTCGATTCGGTGCGTGTTCATTCGTTTTCGGTCGGCTTCCGAAAAGCGTAAACCCGAGCATAAACCGGCGTGTGTTCGGTACCTAATAGAAACATGTAACTCGACACGAATCGGTGTCATTCGGTTTCTATTCGGGATCAAGGTTCACAAAAGCAATTTGTCGTTTACACATATAGGCCAGTAAATGACCGTTTTGCCGTGTAATTTTTCGCGCCTCGACGGATTTGCTTCAAAATTTGGATTTAGGTTCTACTTACCATCCACTTCAAAGTTGAACTTGAGCCCAGGGTTGCTTTTACTTGGGGGGTTAATGCCACCCCTTCTCGGGGCGGAAAAAAGATACGTTCAAAATAAGTCCGGAAATTGAGTAATTCTAAGCAACTTTTGTTCTATAGAGTTTTTTCACTAAGTCAATAGTATTAGAGTTATTTGCGAGTGAAAATGTTCATTTTTCAACAAAAAAACCACGTTTTCAGACGGTTTTTCGCAAACAACTCTAAAAGTAAGTATTGTATCGAAAAAAGTATTCTTAGCAAAAATATAGCTTATAAAAAAACAAACAAAATGGTCTATATATGAAGTCTGTAGACCCAGTAGAAACAAAGTTGTAGCTGATGAAAAGTAGGTTCTCATTCGTCAAATTCCAAATCGAGTACTTCAACGTGAAATAACCAAAAAATGAAGCACTTTTCGGAGAAAACTTATGAATACTTTATTAAAGTGTTTGAAAAAACCTTTCATTTTGTTTTTAAGAAAAGTTCCTAGCATCAAAACTAAGTGAGTTGCGCTCAAAATAAAGTTGGTCCTTTTTTTTTGGTAAAAAAATTGAGGAAATCACCCCCTATAATTAGCACCCTAATTGTAATTAAGCGTTACCGCTTTACAGTTTACTTTATTTATGTATGGTTGATATGATCTGTAAGTTTGACCGGAGTAAAGTGGTTAGTTTTGAAAAAAATGTAGTTTTGAAGTAAAAAAAAAAATTTTGAAATTTTTAAAAATTGCCTACTGTGTAAACTAAACTAATACACTAATAATTATTTGGCAAAAAAAGGCAATTTTTCAAAATTTCAAAATTTTTTTTTACTTCAAAACTACATTTTTTTCAAAACTAACCACTTTGCTCCGGTCAAACTTACAGATCATATCCACCATACATAAATAAAGTAAACTGTAAAGCGGTAACGCTTAATTACAATTAGGGTGCTAATTATAGGGGGTGATTTCCTCAATTTTTTTTTCAAAAAAAAAAGGACCAACTTTATTTTGAGCGTAACTCACTTAGTTTTGATGCTAGGAACTTTTCTTAAAAACAACATGAAAGGTTTTTTCAAACACTTTAATAAAGTATTCATAAGTTTTCTCCGAAAAGTGCTTCATTTTTTGGTTATTTCACGTTGAAATACTCGATTTGGAATTTGACGAATGAGAACCTACTTTTCATCAGCTACAACTTTGTTTCTACTGGGTCTACAGACTACATATATAGACCATTTTGTTTGTTTTTTTATAAGCTATATTTTTGCTAAGAATACTTTTTTCGATACAATACTTACTTTTAGAGTTGTTTGCGAAAAACCGTCTGAAAACGTGGTTTTTTTGTTGAAAAATGAACATTTTCACTCGCAAATAACTCTAATACTATTGACTTAGTGAAAAAACTCTATAGAACAAAAGTTGCTTAGAATTACTCAATTTATCAATTTCCGGACTTATTTTGAACGTATCTCTTTTCGCCCCCGAGAAGGGGTGGCATTCACCCCCCAAGTAATAGCAACCCTGGGCTCAAGTTCAACTTTGAAGTGGATGGTAAGCAGAACCTAAATCCAAATTTTCATGCGATTCGGTAGAGACGCGGAAAATTACACAGTATCGCCGTATTCCACGTTCATTTACTGGCCTAATAGGTACCGGGTGATTCTCAAACCGAACATAGGGAATTACCATGGGAAAAAGGTTTTTTGTAGATAGTTGCTCCCCATGTTAACTTAGAGATAGAGAGTATATATCGAAAGAAGATTTTTTCCTCGTCTAATGATATACGAATTAGTTCATTTTCCGGTGTATTTCTCACTATTTTATCAAAAACTCGGCAATAAATCCACTTACCAAAATCTTGTTAAACCATGACTGGTAAGACAAAAAGCAGATTCAAACGTCGAAATCAATATCAGTTTATATTTTTTTGTAAAATGCGGTTCACTGAGGAAAAAGTATTTATAATAAACAACGTTTACAGCGGAAATCGAGGCGGAAATATTTTCTCAGTACGCGATATTTGTTTTCCGTGCATTTAAATGAACGTCCCATTCCGTCTGTGTGAAAACCTATTTGAATTCTTTAGGAAATTTCCATGGCTTAACATGATTTTGCTAATTGGATATATTCCCGAATTTTTGATAAAATAATGAGAAATATTCCTGACAATTCAACTCATGTATAAAAAATCGCATAAGCCGCAGTGCAATTGTCACTTTGACAGCGGCAAAAGTTACCTGCAACTTTTCCAGCGACAAATGCACTAGTGGTTTTTTCACTTATTCATTTTCGAACCAAATATCGCATTATCCTTTCCCATATGACTAGTATGACGTCTGTCAATAATTGATTAGTTTGGTGAATTTCTTGTTCGTGAAATTGTCCTGCCGAATTACACTCGTGGTTTGTATTTAAACCGAGTAAATTTGTGTGTTGCAATTCAAATCTGTTGCCTTTTAGCAATTGAACTCGAAAAACTGTCAACCTAAAAATGCTCCACCTTCGGTGTCGCATTTTTATTAGTTGACAGTTTTTCTCGTCTAATTACTTGGCAACAGATTTTCATTACCTAAACAACCCAAATTTACTCAGTAAAATACAAACCTCTTGTGCAATTATAAGTGACAATTCAATGCGATTATTCAATGACATTTGTCAAACTTCCACCAGTGAAATGTAGCGAAATTTTGTCGTATTAACCGGAACATTCTTCTTAGTTTGTTAATCAATTTCGACAACCGACTTATCACCACATCTTTTAATTTAATCACTCATCCCGAATTAGCTTGGAGCACAAAAGTTCGAATAGAATCAATAGCAAAATGAAAAGCAACTTCCGTAATTTATTTTGACGTTTATTGTTGTCATGGAAATACATTCGCGTGGGTAATTATGCTTAATTTTTCTTTTGATTCATTGAATAGTCCTCCGAATACCATTCGTAGTCTAAGTATTTGTAGATTATTTTTGAGCTGCTGCTCCACTCATGCTAGTTACGCTTTTTAATACCACTCGCGCAAGCGCTCGTGGTATTAATCAGCGTAACTAGCTTTCGTGACAGCAGCTCAAAAATATTCGACAATACTTCGACTACTTATGGTATTATATATGAAAATAAACTAATTCGTATATCATTAGATGAGAAAAAAAATCTTCTTTTGATTGGTGTCATTATAAACCCTCTTAACATGGGGAACAACGACCTGCAAAAATCGTTTTTCCCATGTTATTTTTTTTTTTATTATTATTAGCGCATCAACCGCGTAGGGTTATTTGCGCTGATATTATGCTTCTGTAATGAAATGACTATAATTGGTGAATGACATTGATAGATTTTAGATAGTTTGTAACGTTTCCGAAGTTGCACTTCTCTCCTAATATTTCTCGAAGGGATCCTTGAATGTGGTGTTGGGAACGCTGGATAGTATACTTGTTACATGAGGTGAAGATGTGACTGACTGTGAGGTCCACATCACATACGTCGCATTTGGGTTTGTCACTTTTATTTAACAAATATTCGTGAGTCATTTTTGTATGTCCTATTCTTAGTCTATTGATTATAACTTGGGCTTTCCGGGTAGATGGTGATGGTAATATTACGTTTACATTTGGTTTAATTTCCCGTAATTTTGAAATTGACGCACTGTGTTTATTTTGCCACTCCCGTAATACTTGTTGTTTAATGAAGAATTTAAGGTCACTATGTATGATTACACTTATATTATTTGTGTCGTTATTGGGTTCAATCGCGTTTTTAGCTTCCATGTCTGCTCTTTCATTTCCCTCTATTCCTATATGGGATGGAACCCATACAAAACAGATTTCTTTGTTGGATTCTCTTGATATTCTAAGTTCATTTTTAATAGATTTAATAATTGGATGACTTGGATATAACTTTTGTAAGCTCGTTATTGCACTAAGAGAGTCTGAGATTAAAACGAATTTTCGATGATATTGTCTGTTTACATATTTTACAGCGCTATGGATGGCGAATAATTCTGCC